TTTGGGATATGAATGGAATAGAAGGAGTGATCGACTGTTAGCCCCTAATGTTGGCGGACAATCATCATAGATATATAACGAATAACTTCTATATAATAGAATATAATACAGGAATTAGTATCTAAACTAATAAGCCTTTTACTTGGCAGTAATATTACTATCACTTTGTACCTATTACTAGAGGTTTTTTGTTGCTTTATTGTTTTATATATAACTAGCTTTCCGCCCGCAGCTTCGTCCGCGTGGAGTTCGGTTATATCGCGTTTTCAAGAGAACCTTTCGAAAATCTGTTATAAAAACTATCCTATGTTCTTTCTCAAAGTCAACTCTATCTCTGTACCAAATTTCATTAAAATCAGTTCAGTGGTTTAGGCGTGAAAGCGTAACAGACAGACAGACAGAGTAACTTTCGCATTTATAATATTAGTAGGGATTAGTTTTATTTGTAAATGAATTGAAATTAAATAAGAAATTTAATGAGTTGGATATAACTCATGTTATATACCTATAAGTGATGGCATTGTAAAAATAATGAATATTAATATAGATAGCTAGTATATGAGCAGCTTCTATATATAGTCAAAATGTGTAGTTTTGAAGCAATCATAAATCCTGCTTTATAGAAATAAGTAGAAGAGATCAGTAGTTGTGTGAGGGACTGTGTGTGATACATAACTCTCATTTATGAGGACGGCCCGGGACTTACTTCCAAGGACAATTCTCCCGAACAGAAAAAGGGAATTATTCATCGCACCCGGAAGGGGAGAACCGGGTTGCGAGCATAGAAATGGACGTACGACGCTGACCTAATGTCCTAAAACAGGGCCCAGAAACATACAAATTGTAACCCAAATTAGAGAGGCAAAAAGTGTAGTTTCGTGTGTAGTTACTATAAGTATAGGGTAAGTTTGTCAACTCCGAGGGTCCGGTTGATTGTTGCCTTTGCAGAATCAAAAGTTTAAACGGCCGTCGAGAACAAAGGCCGCTCGGACAGGGCGCGGGATAAATATTCAATGTGAAGCCTTTGGAGGCTGTGTTTTATAGTTGATAGTACCGACTCTCACCTGCGAAGTATACCGGAACAAAACTACAATGAAAAATCATAAGCTTTTATAAAATATTAATGTTTTTGTATGCCTTTTAATCAAATGTTATTGATTTTTTTCATACGAAATAAATTTCCGATTCCCCGAACCACGGTTACAATTGGTATCGTGCATTAATTTAAAAATTAACAAAGCAATTAATATCCATTGAATAAACGTCGAAGTTTTAAAATAACATTACAATTTTACCAAAAAAATGTATAATTAAACAAGATTTTGTGACGGTTGCGTACGTACTATGAAAATGACAATTTACAAATACAAATAAAACTGGTTTGCAATCAATCACAAGATTGTTTAGAACTGGCTGAACCAAGCACCCTAAGTTTACCTAAAATTTACATTAAAATCACCATCAAATATTAAAAAAACCTGGCTAAAACTCGGCCATTGTACACGTATGATTCGTAACGGTCGAATTCTCAATAATGTGAATGAAATATTCACAATTTTTATAATTTCCGCGACGCTGGCGCACATCTGTCGTTCACACGGAAGGGAGCGATCATATTGTACAATTATATTGTTCAAAACAATTCTATACATTAAAATCTTTGACAGAAATACTTTTAATACGAATGACTGTTTATTCGGCAACAGAGACAATGCGAATTTAAAGCCCGGAGAAGGCTTCAGTACTGCTAATAGCCACGGCAGGTCTTAAGCGGATTAACGTCGGTTCTATTAAGGTATTTTGCAAAGATATATAGAACAATGTCTATAGTGTCATAAAGCGGGTTGCTCCAATTGCTCTAAGATTTCTATTGTACTTAGAGCAGCGCAATACGACAAATTACTTGCGCATGTCGGAATTCTTTGTAATGAAACTAATTGCCTTTGACTATTACAAAAACTGCAAATATCCGACGCTGATGGTTCCCGGTATAATTAAAATTATATTACACAATATTATTTGTCACTTTCACTTTATATAGCATTTTAAAAAAGATTTCTTTTGGTTCAAGATTCGCTTGATCTATGTCGAATTTTATGCAAAGAAAGGAAAAGTGTTATTGTTTAAAATGATTAATTGCATCCTGTGGAATTCTGTGTACATTCGTGAAAGGGTTTTAAGTTTGACGACAAAAAATATTTGGCAAAGCAAATAAAGAAAGCGAAAGTGTTTGTATTTGGAGGATTCTCATTGTTTCGTTCGGCGGGTGCTTGAAAGCGATTGTGGTTCAGCTTCAAAGAGTCTTCGGAGTAAGTAGGAGCGGGGGTCGCTGGGTCGCTTTGAAACAATACCACTTTCACTTTAATCTCGATACATTCAAAGAAATTTTAAAGCTACCTAAACTCTTTGATTCAAAACGTCTTGACTCATATAAATATCACTTCCATAAAGAAGCTATATATAACTTTTTTAATACAATAGAAAATCAGCTGGATATCATTAAAACAGTATTTTATATTTGCCAAATATATCATTATACAGATACAATCTGCACAACATAACAACATGTTTCAGAAGTTCCGACACAACCTAAACTTGGTCTAATTAACGGTACTTAAATCTAATATTGATACTAGATAACATCCTACACCTGTTATTTTATCTGCGAATGTCGCTAAGAGAGATCGGATCCAGTAATTTATAGTTCGCTCCCGGAGACGGAGGCAAGGTGCGTGGCGTGTGCTTGATAACAGACTCAAAACATCACGGCACAGGGATGATGCATTTAAAAACGGGAGGGGAAACACTTTTTAGACGTAAAAAACTGCAAGACTATAAATATATTACACAAGCAACTTAAACTTTAATGATATATTGTTAAAGTCGAATTTTGAATGATCAATTTAGGCACGCGACATCAGCAGGTGGAAGCACTTTAAAAAACTAACAGTGGTTTTTTTACCGTTCATTGTGTAAGAAACTGTGTGTGTTATATTAATTGTTTTCTTAGGTTATACAAAATACATAACAACGAAGTGTTATCAAGCCTTGTTAACTTATGATTAAAATCTAATATAAACTAATATTATTATGATTACTACATGTATTTTATTATTTTAAATACATACTACCGATATTTCGGTTACTTTTCATCAACATAGATCATAAAGACGAGATGTGAATTCACACGCGTAATAATCAGATAATATTAGTTTCATTTAAATGAATACTCGCGACACTCTTAAATCTCATTGTGTTAAAATATTAGTAACTTATATTTTTCTAAAATGAGTAGAATCATGTTATTAAATTAACACACACATTCAAATCCACACTCACACATATTTAACCAGACTTAGAGTAGATAATTCCAATAATAGATCATTAAAAAACAGAGTTAAGATAGAGCTCGTGAAGGGCGCGAGTAGGGCACGAGTAGGGCACTAGTGGGGCACTAATAGGGCTGGAGAAGGGCGCGTGCTACTCAAGTATAAATATAACTGAAACAGTAGAAATAGAAGCGATAAAAATGCTTAGTTTACGCGACACGGCGCCCTGTTGGGACAATTATGTTTTTTATGTGTGTGGTGCTAGTAAATAGATAGACAGAGTTATGGAGGGAAGGACAGTCGAGTACCGACACACGTGACGTGTACAGACGTACATACAGTGTGGAGTATATAGAAACATGATTCATTCCCAACGAGGGTTGATGTCAGGCAGGCGGCAGGTCGTAAAAACAATTAGCCAAAACTATTCATATCATGCAAGGCAGACCCTGGCTAGACCTGGGAAGTTGCCAGGTAGAAGAAGTAGAAGAAGAAACATGATTTAGTTAGTCCTAAAGTCCTAAATCATTAAAATAACTCTATTACCTTCAACTTGTTAATTGAACTATTTATTATCATCTAATTAAATAATAATGTGGTTTATTGTAAATTGCATTTTTAATGTAATTATGAAATAGTAATTACAACTGGTTATTAGTAATAAGCTAATTATGTTACAACTCCACTATTATAATTAATATGATTAAAATTTAAACTGTTTTAGAATCTAACTTACAAGATATTATAAAGAAAGTAAGATAAATTGGAGATTGACATGACATATGACAAAAGATAGTAGAATAAAATGGACTAAAATCATAACTCTATGGGATGGAAAAAGAAAAAGAGACACAGGCAAAAACCTTCGAATTAACAAATATTTAATTTAATTTTGAAAGACTTTCTGATAAATAACTAAGATAAATAACTTTCTGAAAATAATATTTCGGATTTACTACGCGATTTTTTATTTTTGACTATAAACTACATACTCACATCTCGTTTTAATGATCACGGTTGCTGTAAAGTAACCGAAACGTCGGGAGTATGTAGTTTATAATCAAAAATAAATCGCGTAGTAAATCCGATAATATTAGTTTCATTTAAATGAATACTTGAATATCTTGATCTCATTAAATAAATGTTTGATACCTTAAAGTTATAGTTATAGTTATTCAAGTTATTATTTTTAGCTTTTAGTTTATTAGGTATATTTAGCTGAAGTTAATATATAAACGATAGAAGTTAGATATTTTTAAACTATTTAAAGCGGCGTCACTGATCTGCTCCAAGCAGTCTCTGTACTCAATTAAAACTGTTTTATAAATTATCTTAACATAAAGATAAAATTAAATTTATTTTTATTAACTAATGTATCATTCATGTTGTGTTATAATTTTTTGTCTAAAAATACAATCGTGATCTCAAATTTTATTAGAAATCATAATTTAATTGTGAAACTATGGAACACAAACAAACAAAAGTTACTAATATATGAAATATCAATGTATATGTAGTAATTAATTAATTAATTAGGAATGATACTTAATTAAAACCATGTCAATAATAATTGTATGTATATACTAAAAAACCGAGGTAGTAAAAAGTATTTAACAACCGAATACGACCAGAAACAGCTTCAACTATTTATAAACTCCAAACATAGAACTAATGATATCAAAGGAACGCGACGGTCATAGTAAATCACAGAACGTCCTCGAATTAGTTACAGAAGAAGAAAGTGAGCTTCATTCGGGAGTTAAAACTAAAAAAGTGTAATGATTGTGTATATCCCACACGGTAGAAAATAGTGCATCGCGTGCATACGGCTGCAAGGCAGCGGGGAGGAAGGGGCTGCGGGGAGAGAGGACAGAGAGAGGGGAGAGGGGTGAGGAGAGGGGGAAGGGACCGTGGTGGGGCGTGGGGGTGTGTTTACAGCTAGGGGCGGCTGGACAGCGGCGCGCCACAGTCAGTGTTGTGGTAGGTCCCACAGAGGAAGCTCGCCTCGCACGCACTCGCTCTCGAGATACCGCGGTAGAACATGCTCAGCGCGAGTTCGATACAGTTTTAGATCTTACTAGTTAACCATCATAGATAAAGACATTGAAAGACTATATTGTTGTGGTGAAAAATAAATGAATTACACGTGAAGGTGTGAGATGGCCCTGTCGCTGCAGTCCAACCAGAGCTCGCGAGGTTTGTGGACACTATATACTAATGTACTGTAGTTCGTCGTGTAAGTCACGTGTGTCACTGCCCCGTCCCGGAACGCGACACACGCTTTATTGACACACACGCTTTATTTGCATCACAAATGTTCGCGGAGTCAGTGAACCGCGGACCGTAGCGCGCTACGAGCGGCTCGCTACGGACCGCTACGGCCTGCTACGAGATACAATATATCGTAGCAGACCGCTACGACTTCATACATTGTCTTAAAAATTACTCTCTAATTATGCTTTTTCTTATTATAATAATTTTCACTTATTTAAAGTAATTTGTCAATTCTGGTAAATCATGAAATAAATTTAAATCTTCTATATCAATTTGTGAATAATTACAATAATATTTATAATCCTCATTTTAATTAGGCCATTAAGTTCTAATAATAATTTACTTAATTAAATTCTTTTTCTTAATGATTTTATAATTCTGTCTCAAACCAAGCAAACCAGTCATCAAATATCATTACTTACATTGTATAAAAAAAGGAATTTGTCTTGTCAACATAAAATTAAAAAAAAAATACCCTAATAATAAAATACATATTATATTTTTTAATTAATTAAACTCATTTGTTAATTGTCATTATTAAATATATATATTTTTTTCATATTAATATAAAAATTAAGAAATATTAATATTATTTATATTCGGACAAATTCCTCTATTCGGCTTATTCGACAACTTAAGTTCCATTAATTCCTTTCATTAATTCCGTATTTAATTAGTGAAGCCTTAACTACGTGGTTTATAAGTTAACCCTAAAACTGAAACCGTATTAGCTCGTTAACTACGGTGTTGGTTTACGTTATTCCCAAAATCCTATTAAAATACGTTGAAATTGGGTTAGAGGTTTCACTTACGGCGACACAGAATTCGTTGCTATTAAAACTAATTATTAATTACCTGATTTTTATATATATACACCCTTTTAATTAAACTAGCAAAATGTATTAAAAAATTAGTATAATTGATTAATATTTATTGCGTATAAATAGAGAATAATTAAAAGTGTTTAGCGAATAAAAAGCGCGGAAGGGGAGTCGTTGCTACTCTCCGTTGCTCGTTATTCGTACTCATTGCTCGTTGCTAGATTCATTGTTTTATTTATTACAACCTTCAGCCGACGGAATCAACGTAAGTCATGTAATTATTATATTTGATTAACAAAAACCTACATTCAAATCTTGTCTTAATGATCACGGTTGTTGAAAAGTAATCGAAATTTCGGGAGTATGTAGTTTTATACATAAAGCACGCGTAGTATATCCGAAAAATATTAGTTTCATTTAAACTACTTAATTATCATTATTATTTATATCTTAAAACTTTACGAATTTGTTAATTTTATATATGTTTCCAATAATTTTAATATATATATCACGCTAATATTTTTATATTACCTATATTATGTAAAGGATTTTATTATTCTTATGGAGCGAGTCTCTCGAAGTTTTGAAACGAGATGTTGTACGTGCTATGAACCAGCGTGTTTCAATCATAACTTTTAAATTAATAAAGCCTGAATCATTATTACAAATAAACGTAAACTCCACGTTAATTAAAATTCCTTCATCATCTTTATATATAATGTTCTATCTTTTCGTTTATTTCGTCAGCTAAGTGGATAACGTCTCCGCTTCACGCCTCGAGGAGAAGTTTCAATTATGATTTTGTCTAATTTTAATTAAGTGCTCTCAAAAGGGCTTTCTTCCACGAAATTAATATTTGAATATAATTTGGGTGGAGCTCGGGCGGAGTTTACGGATCCACGAATAATTAATTCCATTACAGCGCTAAGTGATCCGGACCAAGACGGAAGGTTCAACATCCTATCACACGCAGTGTAATATTATGATCAACTAGATCCTTATATATGTAGTTTCATTTATTTAAATGAAACTAATAGTTTTCGGATTATACTACGCGATTTTATTTTTGATTATAAACTACATACTCCTTTTTCGGTTACTTTTCAGCAACCTTGATCATTGGTAGACGAGACCATCAGATCTGTAGTAGTTTTGTTTCCTTACAATTAAGTAAAATTATAGTTATATTGTTAAAAAAACCTAAAGTAGTTAATGAATACACATAACGAATGAACAGTAATTTGCGCAACAGGTCGGGGCGGAAACGACTTGCAGTGATCGCAACCAAATGTTTCCTTGTTTTTGCTCGTTTTTTGTGTTCGCCCGCTGATAAGTGCCGCTATCGATGAGCTCGGGACGCTTGTTTGCTTAGGCCGAGACTTAAACCGTGACGGAAGTGTTCGCGACAAATTTGGAAACACACACTCACGACTACCAAATAAGTGGAGATAATATTACAGTTTTATGTTCTAGTATCCATTGTTTATAGTTTTTTCCTTTTGTTGCAGGAGTTTCTGTAAGATCACTATCAAGTATGAGAGAGGAATCGTTGCCGATGTTGGCTGAGAGGATACTAGCGAGCCGTGCTGCTGCTCTAGTGGCCGGTCTACCTGCGGAGCTGTATTCCGGAGCGTTACTAGCAGCCTGGCCGCCATCACCGCCCGCGCCTCTACTGCCTCCACCAGCTCCGGAAATAGAGAGAGCAAGGAAACGACGGCGAACGCCGAAACTAGACGATACAACCTCCCCGGCACCACCATCACCACCGTCCTCGGGCTCGTCACCAGGAGCCACCGACCCACCGCGAGATAAACTGTTCACCTGTAAAGTGTGTTCGAGATCATTCGGATACAAACATGTCCTGCAAAACCACGAGCGAACACACACCGGTGAAAAACCATTCGAGTGCGGCGAGTGCCACAAGCGGTTCACTCGTGACCACCACTTGAAGACACACCTTCGCCTGCACACGGGCGAGAAGCCGTACAGTTGTCCGCACTGTCCGCGTCACTTCGTACAAGTCGCTAATCTGAGGAGACATCTCCGGGTGCACACGGGAGAGAGGCCCTACGCCTGCGCTCGCTGTCCAGCCCGATTCTCAGATTCGAATCAGCTCAAAGCTCATGCTTTGGTACACGAAGGTGACGCCCCGTTCGCTTGCCGATGTGGAGCGAGATTCAGAAGACGACAGGCTGCAGCCCTGCACCGCTGTCCGAGCGGCGGCTGCGAGCCCGGCACGCCCAGCCCGCCAGCCTCGATCGCCCCGGACTGGCGCTGGGACGACTGGCCGGAGCAGACCGAGCCAGAAGACCTGTCTCTACCCCGAAGACCGGCGACTCCGGATTCGCCGACTGACTTGCGCGTGCACGCGGCGTAGTGGGTGCGTACGTAAGGCCTAGCGCCTCGCGACGCTGAGCCGGTATACGAGTTCCTCTCAAGTAGTCCCGCGCTGGGGCAATCGAACTCCTGGTCCTCTCACTTGGTGTATTTAAATTTCATTATATTATTATTAACACAAGCTCCATAGATTCGGCACACAATAAATGTTCCTAACGGTCGCCTACAGCCATTTTTTCGTATTCTCGGTAAGCCTACTGAATCGCTCTTGTTAGTTAGGTAGTCATCTATTACAATAACTTTTTACGACACCAAATTTGCAAACTTAAACAAAAAGTCACCTTTTATCTGTGATACAGTTTTGAAGTTTATTGTCATGCTATTTGCATAATCTGCGCAAAAACGAGACCAATTTTTTTCATCTTTTGTTTTGCGATGTTTAAAGAACATGTTGTACAAAAGATATTCTATGATTTATTATGTTTTTGTTGGTGGGACATAAAAACGTGTCTGCTTTGGTAATCATTTATTGATTTAGAACCGTCCGTCATCTTCGTTCTTGGAGAGCAGTAACCGGAACACGGGGAGATGAAGGTCGCGACGTGCACCCATTATATTAGTTACAATGACTTCTTAACAATAGTTAATTATTATAAGTATTGATTCGGTCTCTAATTTCGCGCAACAAAGCCGTCCGTATTGTCCTCGCCCTGATCATAGCCTTCAACAACCGGTTCTCAATTACCCTCATTTCATTGATGTACATAAATACACATTTTTTTAGATTTCTTAAAAGATTTTCCTTCTAAATATCGTTTTATCGGCTAACAATGAGTTATTTGTGTCCTACTAATAAGTATAGGGGACCGTTATCAGTAATCGATGGAGCTTGTCGCGTAGTGTTTAGTGGAGACTTGTGAGAGATGGAGCCTCGCCACCAGCGCGGCCAGCTTCTGTACATAATGCTATCTCAGCTATCAAATTATTTATTATTTATCGTTTAGTTCCTAGTTATACATAGATACGAGGTTATTGTTAAATATATTTGTATATATGAATGTGTCGAGGAGCCGTGTCGACGTGTTAGTGCGTGACCATGACCGCCACCAGTTGTCATGTTAGGTAATTGTTCTTAGATTTAAGATTGAATCAAAATATTTATGTGAATATATGTACATATATAACAACTGGCTTCGTCCATGGTCTCGTCGTCGAGCTCTTCGTACGTCTGTGTGTACGTTATTGCAATTCATTGTACGGGTATTAGTTTCCTAATAGAGTAGTGTCTTTATTTTTGTTTCCTCCGATTTTTGATTGATTGTTTGAGCGCACAGAACGCCGCCGCGTCTACCATCATTATTGATTGTTGATTATTATTATTTTATTATTCATTAGTGTTAAGAATTCAAGGAATTAAGGGTTTCTCTCTAGTATAGTGTACTCCGATACATAAGATATTTTTCCCAAAGAAATGAATAGGTACAAAGTGAAATATTATGTACAAATTTAAACGATTAGTGTTGTAATATGTTGCGATGTTGTAATCGTATCGGTAGCTAGTGTAATGTTAGTGCCATGATCTACCTCAGTCTGGTGGCGACACTGTCAGGGTATGAAGCCAAAGTTCTTCACATATTCTATTCTATTCTATTCTATTACTACAACAACATCGAAGACGATTCAACTGTTTGAGACTGATTTATCAAATGTATTTTTTGTTATCGACTTATTAAATCAAACGACTAATTGTGATTGTGTTTCGTGTTGCAATTGATTAAGTTCCTATTTTTTGAATATTTTTTTTAATTAAATTATTTTCGTGACATTTTATATTGATAGTTACCAACCTGTCCTAAGTCTTGCCATCCTTTCGCTTTCTGTATCAAGGCGATATAAAAACAGATTACTACATACTGTAAGTTTAAACGTCATTTGTAATCTACCTCATTTTCGGAATTCAGGTGTTCCTTAGCAAATAAAAAACTGTTTTACAAGTTAACATAGTATATGTACGTGAGATAGTTATTGTACTATATACATATATGTATTCCTCTATGTCCAGTACATAACTTTTAAATAAAGAGATGTTTGTTATTTAATTTATCTTTTATTTATACCTCCGCTTTGTGTGATGAACGCTAGATGGCACTAGTAAGGGTAACCGGATTTTAGCATTGAGTAAAACCTTTAATATTTTAGAAATACAAAAAGTATTGACATAATAATAATTTTTTTAGACTAAAGTTAATATTGTATCAATTAAATAATTTGTTGATAATGAGGCCTCAAAACTAGGTTATACATCCAAGTATCGTTTGAAATTAATTTGATACAATAATTTATTAGTAACAAAAAGGTTTTGTGTAGTCTCCTTAGATTATAAAAAATATGTAGGTGTATAAAGATACAGCCAGAAATATTCTTTAATAAAATTATAATAGAAATACCTTTTATAGAGAACCTTTGTAGTAAAATATAGAAAAAAATGTAACATAATTCAATTATTATAACTAAATATAAAATATAACTGAAAAATTACAAGAATTATTAAAGTAGGCTTCGAAGACTTATTTTCATAAAGCAAGTCAGTCAAAGCCTTAAAGCTGTAGAACTTCCTGTCGACCTAGAATAATAATTTTCATTTGATACTATTTTTTTATAGTGCCTGGGTTAAAAAAATTATTCGTTTTGGTAATACAAGTGAATTATTTTGTTAATTTTACAAATGATAGTCTGACTACAATAAATAATTAGTTAGCATTTAGACACCACTGACTGATGAAGAAAAACATAGTGAGGAAACATGGACCTATAATTTCAATTATAAGTTTGAAATCACCAACCCGTCTTGAGCGAACGTGGTGATTAATGCTCAAACCTTCTCCATGTGGGACGCTCAGCAGTGGGCTCTGATAGGCTGATGATGATGATGAAATAATTAGTTGACTGATCAAAGTGAATAAAAGCGTGTTTATTGCTTAAAAAATTCTGTATTTCTAAATTAAGTTACTCGCATCGTACACTAAAAGACGAAATATGCCACTAATACTAATATTACACAAATATAGCTTTAATTTATATAATATAGATTAATTCTTCTTCCTGGCAATTTCCCAGCATTAGCCAGGGTCTGCCTTACATGTTGTGAATAGTTTTGGCTAATTGTTTTTACGACCGGCCGCCAGCCTGACATCAACCCTCTTTGGGAATGCATTAATCAGTGATGTCTAAATACTCTTAGAAAGTACATATGACTCGGAAAAATCATATTGGTACTTGCCAGGATCGAACCTACGCTCTCGTGCATGAGAGGCGGGCCTTTTAACCACTAGGACACCACTGACTTAATAATAATATAGATTAATTATAATTATAAAATAATTTCTGATGTCTGAAGATAATATAGAAGAGATAATTATGAAATAAGATATCTTTTATCTCGTTAAATTTATTAAGATCTCGTTACAAGACCTATTTTTTTCTGACCTTAATATGTATTGTATAATTTTTTTCAATATGTTTTTTATTTGAGACTTGAATTTAGAAACATCGAAAGTATTTAACCTGAGAAGTAACTTGTAAGAGACATGGTTTAGGAAGTTTAATTCCTTATTTTGAAGGTTAATGACCGATAAGTATATGAGTATATGATTACATCATCATCAAAACTATAGCCATGAATGCTCTTCATCATCAGAACTGATAGTTATCACCCAATGAACGTAGACTTTATTAATTTAATCAATTTCAGTGTAATTTTAATGTGTGTTTTGTAACAGTAGTCACAAAGGCTTATCAACTAAGGGACGGGAGCGAGCGAATTATAATTTATTTGGAGAAGTGGCAACGAGCACCCTCCCCCGCGCACCCTCAGCCCGCACCCCCGCACCCTCCGACACCCGCGTGCACCCCTCGCACCCCCGCGACCCGAGCGGCTCTTCCCGGCCTACCCTTTGCTTTCGCCCTTCGTTATACGTTGACTAGACAAGAGTTGCAACTCGTACAATTTTTGCAATTATTTTTTTTTATTTTATTTTGTGATAAATAATTTACAAATATCTAAGATCAGAACTGCTGTATTAATTTGTTTCATATTTTTGTCGTTTATGTTAAATGTAACAGTTGAATTTGTATATACTGATGATTGATGAGCGATGGTTTAGAAGTTCTTTTTAGACTACAACCTTAGATAAAGTGGAAGTAAAACACAGGAAAATAATTACACGGTCGCTCTAAGTGTGTTCTTGTGATCTAAGACGTTAAAAGGTTTCTCGATCCCGGTGTACGGCAGTAATACAGAAGATGGTAATTAAATTTTGTAATCAAATTAAAATATTAATTAAGTTACAACGCTTTCGGCGGCAGGTTCATACTTTCTGTTTTTTTCTTTAGGTAGCTTGCGTTCAAAGGAGTCGGCGGGGCGCGGGTCCTGCGGGGCGCGGGGAGCGAGGAGGAATTAAGAGGGAGTGGGAGGGGGAGGCCCGCCTTGGATACCGAGAGGAGTTTTAACCAATTAATTTTGTTCCTCAACGCAAACTCCGCTATATAATAAGGTATAAGTAGGCATTAACTGAGACCGCGCCGATCGCCGGGCCGAGCGGGGCCGAGCGGGGCCGCGGGGGCAGGCTCTCCTCGCCTCTCATAACGATGTTTTATTTCTTGTTAAGCTCTCCATTCCTCCACTTTTAATATTTAATAGCGTTTTCATGGCGATTGTTTATAGCGCACTTAGGAATTTCAAACATTATTTATTAGTGTTGTCTCGAAGATTTAATTGTCGCTCGGCGCTACCTTACAATGAAAACAGTCGCTGTCATCAAGATTATAATTGCAGATGCATTAACGGAAGGTGATTTTTACGTCGTATTATAATCATGGAATATCAAATGAATATTCATAATACAACAGAAGTCTTAAAAAACACCATAACGTCTTCGCCATGTGTTGGGATCGTTCGTGCCAAAATTACCACAGCTTCTGTTGCATTCTATATCATTATAGCAAGACACAAATATCTCTTGTTTTCGGAAACCAAACCCTGATTGTATCTCCAAAGGATTCAATTCTCTTCACCACGGCTTAAGATTTTTTCAATGCGTACGCGGCGTACTCGCGTCAATATAACGCTCTTCAAATTTCCCGAGCCGCGCTAATGTTAAAAAACATAATATTAAAAAAAACAAAAAATCCACGTCGTAGATTCAAAAACAAAACTGGCACGCGATTCAGAACACCCTTTCCCTTTTGAGCGACGCGAGCTCTGTTTTTTTTCTAACTAGGGTCGTGTTTTTTATTCGTAAAGTATAAATTAATAAATGAACGTGCTTATGATCCGCGGCGTGGTACACTTTCGACGTTAGAATATGTTTTTTGTTAACATTTTTTTATGTTGATAGTGACGGAAACGGTGCTGTCTATTGATTAAGGAACGTCCGCTGTTTTCCAACGACAGGTGTAAGGTTTTTGTAAATTAAAAATATTATTAAAATGCATATCGCTAAAATAAACGTGTTCGTGTTTTGGAATAAGAATAAATTGGAGAGAATAAAGAAATTTAAGAATAAATTACACTCAACTACTGATCTAGACGCTCTGATTTTGCACATAGAATTAAAATTAATTGATTAAAAATTACGCTTAATTATTTAGTATTGTTTTTTGAGCATTTTCGTATTTATGAGGTTTTGTAAAATATTATTTTGAAGCCGGAAGACGTTTTTGTTTCACTATAAGCTTCCTAGATACAGTTTTTGTCCACATTCTGTTCTAACGAAGCAACACTTGCCAGACTGTTTGCTTCGAGCCGCGAATGACAGAGTTACCGGTTAAAATATCCGTTAAAAATATTATTAGTTAACCACAAACCGATAATTATCTGATTTGGAAGTTAAATATAACTGTAATGATTATCAACGTGGTATTTTTGAATTAATTTGCTGATAGACAATATTCTGACCAAATAAAATTAGATAACTTGTATAGAAAAAGATTTTTTTTTAGCCTATGTAAGCCCACAGCTGAGCCTCTTCTCACATGGAGAAGATTTGAGCATTAATCACCACGCTTGCTCAAGACGGGTTGGTGATTTCAAACTTATAATTGGAAATTATAAGTCGAGGTTTCCTTACTTTCCTTCATCGTCTGTTATGTCTAAATACTCTCAGAAAGTACATATGACTCGGAAAAATCACATTGGTACTTGCCAGGATCGAACCCTCATGTACGAGAGGCGGGCCTTTTAACCACCAGGCCACCACTGATTTTTATACTACGAATATTCTGACCAAATTAAATTACCTAACTTATATAAAAGGAAATTCAGGTCAGTATTATAAATAAATCAAAACATAGTATTGTATATTATAAGTGATTCTCCTGAATTGATTGTGTTTTTATAACCGCGTACTCCGTACAAGTGAATGCGTCTTTGTGCACGTCGAGACCCACGTGTGGTGGTACAATCGATGAAATTTATAACAAAAAATATACGACACATATGAAAGATTAATGTTGCAACACAATAATATAGATCCTTACATATTTACATTCATACAATGTAAGAATTTCATTTAAATATAAATGTAACAAAAGTTCAAATTGATTGAAAAATATTTCTGTAGAATATTATTTAATGATGAGTAGTAAGACTTTCGCGATCATTTAAATGAAACTAATATTATTTCGGATATACTACGCGTGCTTTATTTTTGTAAAAAACTACTACTTATCTGATAATCTCGTCTTAATGATTACGGTTGCTTAAAAGTAACCGAAACGTCGGGAGTATGTAGTTTTTTTTACATAAAGCACGCGTAGTATATCCGAAAAATATTAGTTTCATTTAATTTAATGACCTCTATATTTATTAATCATTATTGTGTTGATTTTTAGTTAAAATGTTTTAATACTTTGCAATCAGATCAAGACAGAGGTAACTAACTGTAAATTACATTTATATATACTCTCTATGAAATAACATAATATATGCAAATACTATAAACATAGGCAGACCCTGGCTAAAGCTGGGAAATTGCCAGGAAGAAGAAGTTTATGTACAACACATTATTTTTGTTAACAAAGTAATAATTTTATAAAACCATTTAATTCTTTTTAAGTTAGTTTAGTTTCCGTATATCGCGAAAGTCATGTATAAATCTAATCACTACATTCATTTCATGATAGAGCGAGTGTCATGAGTGTCATGAGTGTCATGAATGTCATGATATCATGAGTGTCGCGGATTCATTCCGCCATGCATCTTTTAAAACCCACCCGCACATTAGCTAACCTCGGTTAACCGTCGCCTTTGTGGTTTTATTATTGATTTTTACGCCAAATATTACCTTTTATTGAAATACCCTTATCACAAAGTGTTTGATTGTGAGCACCATTCATGTATGAGTGATCTTCACAATGTCATTAATAATACGCAACGGACTTGACGCGATTCACTTCTTATACCTATGAGGATGTATGGACAGAATCTAGCTATGGAACACATAAGCAAGTCATCCACTATTGTACACTGATTATAAGAAAATTATTGTCAGTTTTATATGTAGGTGAGAATAAATACAAATATGTATGTATATAAAATTCTCGTGTCGCGGTGTTAGACAGAGAACTCCGATATGGCTGGACCGATTTTGATGTAATTTTGTGAGCATATTGAGTAACTCTGAGAATCGGAAAACATCTATTTTTCATACCCTTAACTCTAGTAGTAAGGGTTGTTCACCTTTAATTTTTTTTTCAGACCAAATTTTTTTTTATTTTTTTTTTAAAGCAGCATTAAAAATACATACAACCCAATATTTTTACTTTTTAATCACCAACCCATATTTTTTTTTTTTAGCAAAACAACGTTAACCGGGTCAGCTAGTATTTATATAATACTTTAATTTCAAAGAACAAATTCTTTTTATATACAGACAAAATATATCAAAGATTTCATTATTATCAATCATTATGTATAGATATATTTAAAATGATCACTAAAGCGGTCTTTTTAATGTTTCAATTTCCACACAACCCGGTCTCATCTCTGTTGTCATAATGCAACTTGTCTCTCGTTCTTAGAAGTACAACAGACGTATTAGAACGCCTTGCAAAATATGTAACAGAGACCAAAGGATTGTAATCTCTTAATCCCGAGTGTGATAGGACTGTAAGACTGGTGCGGCGTACAGTGTAACACCGAATAGTACCTACATGTACCGAAAGACAAGTAACAAAGGAGTTTGTTTGTGTTCCTTTGTCTGTATGTTTATGTAACGCGGCCACCGGCTACTGTTGTTAGCGTTTAATCCTCAATATCCTTTATTCATAGTTTTTATAACACGATCAAAGTGTCCGACAGGCCGTTAAAATTACAAAATATACTTTTGATACAACTCCATTAGACACTCAATGGATACGGAACTCTAGAACAACCCAAACATACAACTGGTATTAAAAATAACGAACTACAATTACAAAATCAAAGTAAAATATATGTAAACAATTATATATTATAAATCTTCTTCTTCTACCTGGCAATTTCCTAGCTTTAGCCAGGGTCTGCCTTACATGTTGTGAATAGTTTTGGCTAATTATTTTTACGACCGGCCGCCTGCCTGACATCAACCCTCTTTGGGAATGCATTAATCAGTGATGTCTAAATACTCTTAGAAAGTACATATGACTCGGAAAAATCACATTGGTACTTGCCCGGGCCAGGATCGAATCCGCGTCCTCATGCATGATAGTCGGGCCTTTTAACCACTACTTATAGTTATATATTAAATATCTACAATTCAAGATAAATCGACATTATTTATCAAGGACAACCCAGATAAGTTGACAAAAGGTGTGTTTGCTTCGTGTCTCGTAAAAAAATCGTACAGCCCTTAAAAAGGTAGTTATAAAAAGGGTCGACAAAGGCTTGAGAGAATGCCAACAATCGTCTGCAACCTGATAACCCTAACACCTTGATGAATGTGGGTTACTGGTGATAACTGTACTTTTAACTCGAATTGCCAAAAAATTAACGGGTGTTGAAAGCTGACACCATCCGCGCGCCGGCTGCTAAATATGAAAAACTTAGGAAAACATAATATTATATTATGTAATGGCTTATAATTTACTTGAATGAGATGAAAAATAAATCAATATAATATGTATCTTTTAATTCTTACTCGCGAAGTAATTTTAAGTGTCTCTTGGCGCCATAATAGGCCATAAATAAAACAATAAAAAATATTTTTTTCAAATTACTCTTGAAAGTTTATGTATCAGAATCTGTTGAATTTGCTTGCTTTTTGTCTTATTATTTTTGTTAGGTATATAAATGTTTTGTAGTAAAGATGTTAAAAAATGTTAAAAGAACTAACTGGAGATAAAAAGATATTTATAATAATAGACGTAGATCATTTACTGTTCACAATCAGAGTTCATTCATACTACCGGGAAACGGTAGCAGTTCTAAATACAGAACACAATGGAACGACCTTGAAAAATACCGAAAATCAATACAATAAAGAGACAAGTGCATTTTTATGACGTCAGCTGATGCTGTTAAGAGTTCAATGCACTCTCCATTGTCCTCAGATCATGGCACAGTGAAAAAACACCGTGGGTACGCATAACGAGCATACAGAAAAAACTCAACCCTTCCGCAGGTACACCCCACACAACCCTTTACAGAGACCCACGAAAAAAAAACTCGGGGAAGCGAAAGGGTAAAAAAGGGTTGGTATTACGCATGCGCCACGTGGCGGCTCATACACGAATATATTATAAAAAATTTGAATGATTTGTTACTCTCAATTTGATTATTCTTCACAAAAAATTAGTTCCAGGACTTTCAATTAATTCTAGTATAGGAATCAGTCAAATAGAAGTTTCAGATAGACAAATGTGTTTAATATATGTTGATATATGGTCGGATTGAGACTGCTGAAGCTATTCAATTGATGCCAGTTCTACTATTAGGTGTCATATCACATCTCCATTAAGCCCGTAACTCATTCCGAGTTTGCCAGTCTTTGTCCATATTCTATTATTCACAGTTCATTGAGGAGCAGCTAACTTGTGTGCTATAACTCCAACAAGTCGCAATGATGGAAGTTTTCTGTCTTTACGTCGCCGTTCTTCTTATATAGCTTTGACACACCAAACTAGGGTCATACATCTTTAATGATAAATTAATACAATTGATATTTAATAATAATTTACTTTTTATTAAAGAACTTTGTTCTCGAGTCATTATTACAATGAGCTCAAATTTAATGATCCAATGTTACCCACACTTATTAAAACACAAATACTTTCTGTAATTCTTTATATAAACTAGGAAATTAATTATCTCAGTTAAAATATGTTATCTTACATGATATAAGAATTAATTTTTTTGAATATATTCTATCAAAATTGAAACAAAAAATAAGAGAGCGACAAATTTAAATAATTCGATAATAACACGAGCAGTCGTAATAAAAACACGCACAGAGCTACCAAATAACGGAGTGAAACTATAATTAAGAAAGATAAATATCGTTTATTACAGTTAGGAAAGTCGATTAGAAAAAAATACTACCCCTTTCACCCCACAATTTGTAACCCGTACGGTAGGAACAGCGAGGCGCGCTCTAAAACGACACACGCACTGTGAGGAGGCTCTTTATATGGAGACAGAGTCATATATTATACGATATAACGCATATAATACAATAATATTAAATAACAAACAACTTACAATACATAAATATTATACTTACTTTATCCATCATAAAAAAATATACAAAATACTTGGAAGATTCTTCCAAGAATGTAATCGAAAGCCGTCTCCATAGTCGTCAGTGATAATAAAAAAATGTTACAGTTACGGAACGCTTTTCCATAATAATAGAATCATTATAGAAAACAGAAGAGTGGCCAGCTGATTTATTAGACGATAATGGTCGCTGTCATAAATAGTTTTTTATATACAAAAAAAATAGTTTTTTAGCGCGAGCACTCGCAGCCGGCGGGGTCAGCTTTTTATGTTTATTAAAATTTTAATGAATGTCGCTGTTTAACAATGTTATTTTGAATATTTTATTGAAGAAATTATGAATAATATTAAATTACAATCTTTATGAAATATGAAATGAGATAGGTAAATATGTAACAATAGATTTATGTACCGTTAGAGTGGTCAGGATTTTATCAATTTATTTAGCGACTCTTGAATTATTTTGCTGTCTGTACTATGTGTGTGACTCAAAATATATGTCATTGTGTTGGCATGTGTGGGCGACCTTGAACAGCACGAGAGATGAATAGGAAACGAACTATCATGATTTATTGATGGAGGAGACGGCCACGAGCGGAGACGAGCTCGAGCGCGGGCGCCTTCAAGCCGAGTACGACGTACTTAAAACGGTTTAAAATTCAGCGATTCTCCGTTCAAAAAAAAGAGTTAATATTGATCGTAGATTTCTCGTCGGGGGTGCAGCGGCCGGCTGAGTCACCCCACGGTTTTTTAACTCACCCTAAGTTATATTTTTTGTAAAGCGCCCCCCCCCCTCGCGCCGCCCCCGCTAACCCCCCGGCCCGCTTTAAAGGATGAGTAGTCTCTATGGAAACGGCTCGATCTAATTTATAGCCGGGAGAAAGTAAGAATTGCTTAATTAAGAATTTAAAATGTGTCTACTGAGCAATTAATTAAAAATTTTCCTTATCTGAGAATTCGGCCGGTATAATTTCTTGGCCGGTAGGTATAATTCTTAATTCGCGCTACTGTATTTTAAACTCGATTTCCCGAAGTGTGTCTGTGTATACAACATATATTTCTGTTAGCAATGACTAAACTTCAGATGTTATAATGACGACGTTCATTATACGTGTGTTCATTGATTGTGTGTGAGGGTTGTGTGTGAGGGTCACAGGTTGTGGGTCACGGCCCCGGCTGGGTACAGACGCCCCGCGAGTCTCGCCGACGGATGCCGTGTCAGGAAGCGCCAGCGCAGCTACACATCACAGAGGTATGTTTAATATCACTAAATTATAATTATTATTCAAAATCAGGTTCAATAATATGCAAATTACAAAAAAAAATACTCAATTTTAAACTAAATGTATCAAGATTGTTGTTAAAGAATTGCGTGATTAATATTGATTAGGTAAGAATTTTAAATGTACAACGATAAACTTGACTGATTATTCAAAATTGATCCTGCGTACTTGGTAGTAGATTTAAATACTTACTTTTGTGGTCTGGTTTTTATTGAGATGTTTATTTTACATGCCTATAGTCATTATATCTAATTTTATCATATCATTCTCGTGTAAGCGACACTAACGATATGATATTAATATCGTTGAAGGTAATCAGGTTGACTGGTAATATGTAATGTTGGTGGCGTCTTCGGTCGCTCGTTACAATTAGATAGTGCGGGCGGCGGCGGAAAAAAAAACAATGGGACCGGTGATGCCTAATGAGCCATAAAGAAGAAAACGATACCTAGAGCGAGCCGTAGACAAAAAGATCGCGAGGAGGGGTCAGGGAGGGCCGGGGGGGCGAGGGTAGAGAATGGCGGCAGGGCTAAATTAATTTGCGCGCTCCCGCCAAACAAAGGAACGCTAATGGAACGCGGCGAATGGAAAAAATGCCACCGTCCGCTTCTTGGACGACGTTTTTTTTGCACACAACCTTTGACTCCCAAATGAATAACATTACAGACAACCGGGTCTCGGAGACCAGGCTTTGTTTATAGTTAATGAAGGAGAACACTCAGATACGAATAGGCATAGCACCTGGACCGAGGTTTACGTACAGACTCACTATGTTTAACACTGTTTAAATTTAATTTGGAGTGTAGGTATAGTTCATAAATCATTTGTATCGATGCCATTTTGATGAAAAACGAATGATTAATGTTAATAATCAGTGTATCCTACATTACAAGAGTACGACGTGTTGATGAAGAAGTAGCTGTTAACAATATTAACGCGGACTCAGAGCACCGTTTTATCTCACTCCATCGAGATCATCTCCAGCATCCGGAAGCAATGAGCGATGTTATCTAAACACAGTCGCGACTCACAATTTCGTCTAAAACGTTATAAATGCCGTCCATTAGATATGCCTTCGTTATTGATGTGAGTCCAATTAAAAGTTCGGAGCGCTGAACGCTTCAAATTAGTGAAATTCTTTAACATTTATCAAGACATCAGCGTTGCGCAACGCGAAACTTCCCAAATTTAAATTAGAGACGATTTTTCCAGCGCCCTCCCCGAGGGGGGCGAAGTACTACCCTTTCCTTATAACGAGGAAGGCCTCATGCATTTTTATGTGCTTCTTTTTTTCGCCGGCGTTTTAAACAAGGGGGTGAAAGGGGAGGCCGGGGAGGTTTTTTTTTTATTCGCGTCTTGATAAGTTAGGGTTGAAATTAGACGTTCGAGTTTCGCTCGCGGAATTCATAATGACTAAAATTAATAAGTTTTCCACGGAGGGTCCCGGGCTGCGAGACGATCGAACACGACTTTATACTCGGCTATCGCTTTCAACAGAGAACTTATAAGAGCTACGTTTCAAATTATATGTTAGTTATATTAATTTACGGAGAGCTCAGGACTTTACAAGGGAAATATTATGTGAATATTAAAATATTCTTTCCTACATCTAACACTTGAAACAAATCTGTCAGTAACTTCAGTTTACTCAAAAAAATGAAGTAATACTCATAAAATTTAAATAATAAATAAGTAATTACGAAGAAATCAATCGAATCGATCAGTAAAATTGTTATAAATGTTTTTGTAATATAAATGTATGACGTACACAGAATGTGTGACGTCGAATGTGAGATAATGAAAGTGGAAGTGAGGAGCACATGCGGACACTTGTTGATGCTGGGCGAGCGTGTGTGAGTACATATACACACACACACACACACACACACATACATACGGCTGGCTACGTCACAGGACTCTCGCTGTACTTTCCTTTTCATTCCACGGTCGACTGCAGAGCGGGTAGTGACCGCTGGTGTTATAATGTAATAGTAAGATATAGTGATTGTTCCAATCATGGACTTTTAAACTTGGTTCGAATAACGTGATCTCTCGAGATGGTTTCGAGCAATTACATCAGTGGCGGAGTCATTAAGGCAATCTATCCGTACGGAGGCAGGCGGGGAGCGGGGAGCGGGGAGCGGGGACGTATTATAATTCCTGACTAATAACATCGTTAACAACCTACATTAAAACAAAACAAACAGCGGCGGGGGGGTGAGGAGGGCGCGCGGGGCGGGGCGGGGAGGGGGGACGCCATCCTTCCTCGAATCCGTGTCATTAATTTACGTAATGCGTAGGTACGCGCTATCCCCAAATATTTAAGAAGCCTCCTCCGGGAGCGCCCGTTCCTCCACTATCCTCCCCGCCCGGCTCCCCTCGCCCCCCCGCCTGACGAGAGTTATGGCGGCCGCCTTGTAATTATATTTTTTAATTTATCTTCCTTAGCGAATACAATGGAGGCGCCTCCCCGCTGCCGGGCTCTTCCTCGTGCTGAATATTGTATCGGGCCGCTCGCGCTGTAAAAAGGAAAGAAAGCTTTAATTACGAGCGAGAGCGGCGCGGTCCACGGCCCGCGTTAAATATTTGATGTCGTCTCTGTCTGCCCCCGCGCCACCGGAGTACTCAATAATTAAAACACCTATCGACTCTCTCCTACCGCTGACCCCTCATTATGTACTTAGCGACGAAAAGAAAATATATTCTAATAACACGTAATGACCAGCGGGACGCTAATTAAACTAATATAGCCAACGTCTGGACGACTTCCTGATACCTAATAATTTACTTATTACTTAAATGGGACGATTGTAAACTAGCATAAAGCTATACGATACAATACAGTATGTTTTTGTTATCTAGGGATATGAATCATGTTTAAATTTATAATCAAATAACTAGACAGGCCGCCGGCTGAAGCTGATTTATAGAATAGCAACAGTCGCAAATGAGGTCGGATTCCGCGGACAAGAAGCCCGAGTACTTAGCGCCCTGAGACAAAGTAACACCCGCCACCCACTGCAAAAAAAAAACGTCTCTAATATTCTTTTAGAAACCGTGGCATTTACGGGCTATATTTTATCCTGAATTTGCATACGCTCCTTTTTTTTTTCTTCACCCGTCTATTTTATGGGTGAGCATTTTTTTTTCGGGGGTAAGATACAAAAGGGTGAACCGGCTCCCGCGTAATTAAATTGCACTGACGTCGCCAAACGCATAGCGTTGAAAAAATCTCCTGTGATGTGTGGACCGAATACAGCTTCTATAAACACACAAAGTAATGCTTTCAAATTTTAAAAGGTGATAAATAAATCTTTATTGATTTTAATACGACACTAAGGTTTAAAAGTATCCAATTTAAATGGTCCATATCATAAAACAAAAATGCAAAATGTTTTATAAAATTTGAAATCCCTCTACAAAATCTCCAACACAAATAGTACGAATGAATACCAATGAAAATAAAATAAATGTATTTTAAGACGATAAAAACATGGGCGTGGACATGTTATAATGAATTTGCAATTAGATTTAACTTCTGAAAGTAATTATGTATTCCGTCGGACGCGATAATAATTTAACTAACAAATTAGGAGAAATCTTACCCTGCTCTAAGTCAAATTACCATAATTGCTAATCAAATGTTGTAGGAGCGGCAGCGGCGGCAGTTGCCTCGCTAATTACGAATTCTAATATCTTCTCTTGTTTCACAGGCCTTTTGAATTTGTAAATTATTGCTGTTGATTTAATACTGAATTTTAATCCACGCGATAAATTTCAATATACAACACTTGGAAAATAATTATTAATTAATTTTTGTTTTGAACGAACTAGCCAGGTCAAAATTGTTATACCTACAACACTTGTAAATAGCCGTCCAATGTTGCTATCTGTAACTATTTCAGAATTAAAATGATTTGTAATGACATTTTGTAGTGGGGTGAATGGAAGCCGTGGCATGTTAAAATGAGTAGGTAAGTATTTAATAAAATTGTGTGAATCACAAAATTCTCTTTAAAATATCGTCGTAGGTACATTTAAGGAAATTCATGGAAATATAAATATAAGATTTCTTTTGAAGTTCCGCTGAAACGTTTCCATAAAAATGTTTGTAAAACTTAATAACATTAAAAGTATTGAGGAGCACCGTGGCGAGAGTTTTTAATACCTTCACGAGTCTACTTATGTAGCGGCTCCAATTAAAACACAGACAGGTTTAAAAGACAGAATACGAGCGAGGGAGCGCGTGTTTACGGAACTCCTGCGGCAAATATTATCGCGACACGAACGATCAAATATTCAGAGAGCGGGGAGGGACGCGGGACGCAACCCTCTCTTGCTTTCAAGCCCTTCCCTTAGCACGCCCTACACTAATTACGTTTAGAGTTCTTAAGCGAAATTACTTAGGCCCCTCGCCACCTCCGCCTCGCCCCCTCGGGCCCCTCAGGAAATGAGGCGCGCTGGAAAAACAAGAGGAAAGCGTCCTCCTAAGACACTCACTGTCGCTGCGAGCGTCCCGAATCTGGGCAATCTCTAAAAGATGTTGATGTAATGATTTTTTTTCTTCATTCTCGCCGAAACTCTGTTCATGAGCGGTTGCTAAGTGAAAAGCAATTAAAGCACGGGCGAGTGATCGCCTCCCGGCCCCCGGCTCCCGGCCCCCGGCCCCGGTAGGACTTGGACAATCAACAAAAACAAAATTATAATAAAGCGGACGTTTGAATTGGTGATACAAGGACGAGAGGATTCAAGGTTAACCCGGGATACACACGAGCACATCACAATAAATACTATAAGAAAGAAACGTTTAAAAAGATAACGAGAATACATTATTATAATTGGTTCCCTCTAATAATTAAATTAATTAATATTATTAATTATATTATATAAATTCACAAAATTTATCTTTTATGATATAAACTTACTAGTAATATACAAAGTTTGTAAAATTAATTTTATCGATTTAGTTTTACATCATTAATATATCCCTACATTGTGAAGAGTAACTGTTTAAGCGTTAATTTCACGACGTTAGGAGTCTATTATTAATGATGAGTTTTCAGCATTAATGTTTCAAATATTTACTATTATATATAAGTATTGAGTATATGTAATTATTTCTCAGGTATATAAGATATATATTGTATAATCAACACAAACTCTCAAAAATATCTATTTACAAGAATCATTACCTCGACAAATTCAACAAGAATTCAACATTTCTCTCCAGTCGAGAGTACAAAGCCCAGCTTCCGCCCTTCACGTGCCAGGGCCTGTTTTAATTTCCTAATTTTCAAATTTTCTCCAAAACAAGAAAGCTTTAAGATTTCATCAACCAATCGGAAGCGACCGCCGACGTTGGAGTGTTGTCATAGAATCTACTTCGCTGGATAATTTCCTGTTAACTAAATAGATTCGATGAGATCTGATGAGATCTGATGAGATTCATAAAAGTTAACATTCATTAAATATGATTAAGTTATTTTAAGTAACTTAATGTGGCATTTAAATTCCATCGTTTTGTACACAACAAACGGTTTTTTACAATTGTCAAAATTAATTAGAATTGTAAAATAAGAATGGCATAGATATATTTTCACAAAAATATTACGAGTAAATATTTTATTGTATGATATTAATGAGATCTAAGACTTTCTCGAGTATTCATTTAAATGAAACTAATATTTTTTAATTACTTCGCGTACCTATTTTATTATTTTAAACTACATACTCCCGACGTTTCGGTTACTTTATATACCTACATAAAATACACAGTAATTCAAAAATATTACTTTCATCTAATAATTAATAATTATTATGAACAATATTGTAATAATTAATTATTATTATAAAATATGGATGAATAATTACAACGTGTTAAGACTGTACCCTTCCCTCCGCCTCTCGTCTCTCAAAGGGCCTCACTCCTTCCTCCTCACTCCTCACTCCTCAGTGAAGACACATCGTAATTGCAGTCTACCCTCGACTACTGCTGACTTCGCCTGATCCCGCCTTTAATGATAAAAAGGGCTCTCGTATAACTTATAATGGTCTACCAATTTAAATCTGATCTAAACATATATAACCCTACTAATATTATAAATGCGAAAGTAACTCTGTCTGTCTGTTAGGCTATCATGCATAAACCACCAACTGATTTTAATGAAATTTGGTACAGATATAGAGTTGACCTTGAGAAAGAACATAGGATAGTTTTTATGCCAGACTTTTGAAAGGTTCTCTTGGAAACGCGATATAACCGAACTCCACGCGGAAAGCTAGTTTATATATTTTTTTCTAAAACTCAGATGTCGCCATGATAATTCTCTTAGAAATATTTTTTTTTATTACACGTTTCTGTGACATTTCATTGTGATCAAAACCGTTAGATTTTAATTCACATGAACGAATATGAATTAATTTTGTTAAGAAATGTTAATAAGAAACGTTTCCGGTATTTGCTCTTTCCTAAATTCAGTTCGACGATCCCAAAAGGAACGTTATTATCGCAAAAATCTGTACCCAAAGGAACAATTTCTGTATTCAAATGATTGACATCGCACCGGGCGGTCAATCGGCGGCTTCTGAATCTCGGCCTTCGCCCCTTGCCCTCCGTCCCTAGTCCCTACATTGTTAAATCGGACCGCGATCAAATCTCATTCTTATGCTATTTAAATTATTTTAACATTTCCATGTTTTTTTGGTGTCAGTGTTGGGAACTTCCGTTATAACAACTCCTCGTGGCTACAACAGTCGTTCTGCATCAGCGCTCTCTTTATTAAATTAATTTTTATCAAGTTTTCTTAACGGTACAGATCTGTACACTTGATAACCACCGAGCGTTACAAATACTGACACAGGAAGTTTACCTTCTGTGGTCAACTTTAAGTGGTATTGATTTTATAATTGCCTAAGTAGAAAGCTTTCCTATTTACTTATTTAATTTATTCCTTATATAGATTTAAAAGAAGCAGCCAAAGATTCTTATAAAGTTTGTATTTAAATCGTACATCAAACACACCTAGGTTTTTTTAAACTGTGTCAAGTGTCACTTCTACTATCAAGGAATGTGTATCTAATATTTTTTTATCTCATTTATCACATATATGTTAATATTATATTATTTTTATATAAAACAGTTATACTTATTTTACCTTTCATGTAATTTTAACCAAGTGTTAAAAATGTTAGTTATTATTAAAATGAATCTGAATTAGGGCATATTTTATGTAAACCTATAAATTACGTCTGGAAAAAGAACACCATAATTAATATATAAAAACAAATCAGTGAAATTTCTTTACAAAATATGTTTTCAATATTAATTTTGGTTATTAATAAAATATCTTTTAAAAGTACATGTTTCCATAATCTATATTAAAATTAAAATTCAATTGAAATGTCCGTCTGTAGTTATCAATCATCAGCTTTAAATTAATTACTGAAAATATATACCTACAAATCCTACATTAAAAAATTCTATTCATAAATTTTGTCTGCCTGTTTCGACTGGTCTGGAATGGCA